CAATCGTTAAAGTGCAAGCCCACGCTCTCATCCATTCGTCCATAATATTTTGACATTGAGAGTTCTTCCACCCTCATTTCGCTTATCACATCTCGCAACTCTCTTTGCGCTGTGAGCTCTTGTTAAATTACATTTTGATCATTCATCTGATTTGCTTGACCCTCTGTCAGAGCATTAAACATATGTTGTTGCTGATCCAACGCTCTAGTTACTGATGCAAACGCTTGTTCCATTCTCTCTTCTATTCGTCTTCTTCTTTCACAACAAGGCTAACCCTACTTCGTGCTTATAGCCGCTTGCAATATCAAATACGTTTTCAATGAGGTTACTTCCACAATTGAGTGGGCTTGAACGTGTGCAGAAGATTCGCGAGGTAAGGCTTCGATAGGACTTCTTTTTTTATTTGGATCGCCCTAGCCTAGAAACACAGAAGAAATGCACAATCACTTCACAAGTCCAAGAAAATTAAGCGCGATAGAGGCAATCTCAGTGATGAAATCTGTGGCTATGGATGCGACGCCGGCCTTCAAAAGCAGGGACCAACAAGTGCTACCAAATGTAGCGCGCGTGCCACTACGCCCGTAATCATATTTGTGATCATGACTCTCATCTTACGTATAACCGTAATCTTTGTGTCGTCATCGTTTGTCCCGTACATGCATCGAGTTACAGAGTCGGTGGCAAATTGGAAAAAGTGATCGTGTTTCTGTTTATTTTTTTGCTACTTATGTACTTGTAAACTATTTACACATATGTACTATGCATTCTTATTGGACCGCGTGTTCTTGGTCTTCTAATCAGGTTATAGAGAAAACAGAAGGAAGGTTTACGGCTTTTTCCATATCGATATCATTCCTTCTGGAATCTTCTCAGACTTTCTACAGTTTTAACTGGTAATTGCCAACTCTTGAACTGTTATCTTGGGTAACTCGGTAAACGTTATACCATCACTACATCACTCATTACAAGACCCACCTTAGTCAAAACGAAAAAGCGCTTTTGGCGCAGGCACAAAGCGACAAGAGCTTCTGTGCAGAAATGAGAAATATTGGAGATGATAGTGGCGGCATCGTAAGGCACCTTAGGCAAAGCTTAAATTTTGGCGTAGTGGCCTTAGAACGAAGCGATTAATGATTCCAAACAGTATATCTGGCAAGACAAGTAGATGAGACGGTAAATGTAAGCTATATACTTGTATTTCCTGTTGCCGAGCCGGTAAAGGCCAATGGCGCATGGGTCGCAAGTCCTTATGGTGGTATAACTATATATATAGGCGCATGGGTCGCAAAGCGCTTTTGGTGGTATAACTATATATATATATTGCTTATTGCTAGGTCAGCACTTTCACATGATGTACTCATGATGCAGAGCAGCAAAGTTACACCCGCCAGTGAAAAAGATAGCTTTTTCATAGATATAGTAAAGGGAAAGTCACAGGGTTTTCAATCTCTTCTCACCTTCAAGGTACTTATAAATCCAGAATTTTAGAGCGTACGTACTGGAACTGGCAGGACTTTTTCCATTGAAATGAGATGGTTGTGTTCATATTGATCCTAAGGATCCCTTCAATTCTTTGTCGTAGGAGTATTACGACATGGTGAGAAGAGATTTGAAACGCGTGTTCCCCTGTATCGGGGAATGCAATGCAAAATTGTATTGAGTCTATTATATTGAGTCTTGGAGCTAAATAGTGCGTCACATGGCAATGCTTCAAAGAAAGACACTATGATGTCATTGACGCTTTTCTTGTGCTGTGCAAAGCACGAAGCAAAATGGTGAGGGCGAAAGATCCCCACCCGGCGCTGGCATGTTGCCCATATTGCATGAATATAAGAAACTATAAAGTGGATCCTCATCTTTTTAAAACAGCAGGCTTTTCCATATTTTTAATTAAACGCTGATTCCTTAAAGGATGTTCTGGGAATAGCTGTAGCTTATTTTGGCTGATTGATGAGTATCATCATCTGCTTTTGATAGACGTCAATGCTTTCTCACTTAGGTAGAAACCCGATCAGGATGCGTTGAAAGCGGCTAATTGCACGACCAAATTGCTGAAAGCACCAGCGACTTGTGGCATAGCTGAATAGACCACATCGGGTCTATGACAAGCGTTTTCGACGACATGTTTATCCGTCGACGATATACTTGTCGATAGTCGTGCAGAGATAGGTCTGTGAGCTGTAGAGGACTAAATTAGATGTTTGCAAGCAGTGCTCAATTGCTCACAAATAAATATTATGACAATATAGACACGTGTGTTGCTTGGCGCTGACAAACTCTCTTTAACAGTCGCTTTATGTGTGGAAATGACCTGTGGGCAAATCCAAGAAAATCCAATGTCACCATAGATCAGCAAAAGCCTCTTTTGCAAAGAAATTTTAGGATGGGAGCTTACTCCGACCAACTCTTGCACGAGAACAGTACAAACTATGCCGAGATGAACGACCCCTCATCTTTTCCCGGATAGGAATGCCGAATTGTGTTGGACCGCGAAAAAACTGTTACACAAAAGAAAAGCTCGTGCGATGCGGATGCTCATATTATGGCTTCATTCAATTTGGATGGCATTTCATGGCTTCTGAGACCCTTCAGTAATTGCTATAGACTGTTTTATCCCAATTAGTTGCCAATGGGTATGAAAGCGTAGTCACGTTTGCGTATTGTCAGCTTAAGGCGGTGAAAAAGAGTTATATGAAATACTGAGCTCCTTGCAACCAAGTTTATATTTGCCAAACGTAAAATGCACCTGTTTGGCTCTATGCATTTGTTATCTATAAAAAACCATGTTTTTTTGCGCACAGCGATGGCGTCATCACACCTCGTAGGAGACAGGTAAGATGCTTATGCTTCTTTGCTGAAAATACTTTTGAGATAAGGCATAAGCAAGATTGGCTTAATGTGATGGTGACTGCACTTTTGTATTGCATAAACTACGAAATGTCGCATGTCACGAGTGCGATGTTTGCAATTATTGAGGTGATACGTACAGCGATCAAGTCAGATGTATTATGTGTAGCGGCTGAAAGATCAGACAATCAAGGGGATTGTGAACTTAGAGGCCGCTTTATCGAGGCACTCGATGTCAGGTTTCTACCGCTCTTCCTTATCCCAATGACTGCTGTATTACACTGAAAGTGTGGTAGTAAATCACGATGAGAGCCATCAGTATACAGCTCAATATGTAACCTTTTGGGCGGCTACCTCGGAAGAGTAATCAATGAATAGTTCGTGGGCGGTGAATTTGAGTGGCTTAACATGTACATGTGTGTGAGTACGTATATGCGCACGAGTGAAAGCTGTTTACAGATCACACATTCGCCGCATGCTTTGGTTTCTGGCTGGCCTGCTGACTCATCGAAAGTGTTGACATTCTATATGTATTGACTTACTTTTGGTCCCCAAAAAGACGAGTTTGGTAATAAACGGCATTGCATTCCTTGTGGACCGCCTCAGCTAAATGATTCGTATTGCTGCTGCCAGCGATACCAGAACCGGTGAGAATACAACTCAGTTGTTTCTCAGCAGCGCATTTCGTCAGCAGGACTTACCAGTAGCCATTGCGTCGGATCGAGATTGGCCCTTTGTAGTGACGTTTTGGCGAGGTTTATCAAAGTTGGACGACATCATATTAGACTTGTCGACAGTCGTGGATCGTCGGTCACCCGGAAACACATTCATCACGTCGTGGAGAATACGTGACGGGGTTTCACGTACCCTGGGATGAAGGGTGTGGTTTTTACAAGATGGTGTGACCACACAATTATGTGGCTGTACTCAAACAAGAAGTAAGTGCGTGGCTGGACAGCCAGTAGTTATACATTTTATTAGGTTTTTCTAAATAGACAGGAAAACCTATAGATTTAGATACAGGCAGCTTTGTCGCACATAAACCGTGAAATACAGTTTACGCATTAAACAATAGGGTTAATTAGCCTTGAATCAAGGTCGTCATTACTCTTGGAGTAAGTGGATTGCGATCCGCTACACTCGAACTGTTGTAAGTATAGAGCGAAGGTCACCGACCTTACCAAGCTTCCTCTGAGTGAAAGAGCTACGGCAGCCCCGCTGTACTAGCCGTGTAAGCCACCAAGTGACTATCAGTCTCGCTTCTGGTAGAAGCGCACGAACTTCTACTCGGCGCATTTGTTAACACTTTTCGTTGTGCAATGTACACGACAACGTATTGCATGTTTGACCAAAAATCAGAGAGTTACCGCGACCGTTCTCACCTGATAACACATCGGCAGCCTCACCAAAGAGAAATTTAAGCGAGTCAGTCGCGAGAATCACCCTTTTTTATGCTCA